AAAGAAAATTAACATTTACAAAAACTGAGATCTCCGAATTCTTGTTAATACTGTTGCAAGTTAATATAATACGGCTTAACATTTTACAAAAAGGCGTGAATGTGTATGTCTTTGTGTGTGTATTTGCGTGGGTCCTTGGTGTGTGTGTTATTTACATTTTCGAATGTGTATGTGTGTTGTGTGAGTGTTAGTGTGTTTGTCGTGTGTGCGTGCGAGTGTGTGTGTGCGTGCGAGTGTGTGTGTATGTGTAATCACTATGTAAATATTCCTCATTTGGGTATGGAAAATACTCTTCCTTTTATTACTCCTAGAAAGTGGTGACAGGAAGTTGGACAACATTCTCACCATTGGCGGGTAAGGAAAAGAACCTATCATGAGAATGGCGTACGGAGTCGCCGTGTCTGCTGACAATGAGATATTTGTGATTGACACCAATGGAGTCCGAGTCTTCAGCATAAATGGGAACTATCTTCGCTACTTTCGAACGGCACTGCCGGGTGAAAATGGCTTTATCATACCTTATGATGTTGCTATTGGTGTAGAGCCCGGCTACCTGTGGGTAGTGGGGGATAAGTCGCACAATGCGCACGTTGTAAAGTACAGTAGAAGTGGTCAGGCCATGAAAAACTTCGCCGTAGGCTTCAGGAGACCTTTTCCTTTTCGCCCGCCCCTTCCCGTCATTGCGATAGACGTACGCAGCAACAAAATCATCGTCGGACAGGGAAATACAGTAAAGCTGTTTGATCAAGACAGCTCTCTGTATCGGAGTTTTAAAGTGTTATCAGGTAGAGAGCGAGGTATTGGGGGGGTCATATCGGACAGTGATGGAAATATACTGCTTACACTTACAGGCGCGTATAAAGCTGTTAAGTCGTTCAGTCACTCCGGAGTCAAGATATTTGAATTTGCCGGACGGGGTGCGGGCCAACGGAATTTTTTCACAGGTATTTGCAGGGACAAGCTGAGTAACATCTTCGTAGCAGACAATGAAAACAACCGGGTAAACATGTTCACAAGCCGCGGGGAGTTTGTCCGTACCATCGCGGACATTCAAGACCCGTCTGATATCGCTATGGGACCAGATGGAGAGATGGTGGTGACTAGTACTAGCGCAGGGGCCAGATCCACTGTAACTATCGTTCCACGCCACATGGTTTTTCCTTAACCTCATAGAAGAAGAACTTCATTGCGCAACAGATGTAGCGGGTACAACGTATGGCAAAATGATACATACATAGTTTGTGGTGTTAACATACACATATGGTGGTGTTGAGAATATGTAACAGTTCTACTAACTGTAATAGGAATCTGGTCTGTTTCATAAACAATGTATAACAAAAGAGGGATACTAATTATACTAATCTCTATTAATACAATGTAGTAATAAATTGTGTCAGGAATTAATTACGTTTTCTCGTTTTGTCATGGAATTGTGTACAAATTGGCCTACATAAGTGGAAATGTTGACAGGGCATGATAGTAACATATAGAATATCTCTGTCTTTGTATGGGGTAGTGTTATATTGGTCTTAACATGTAATATGCTGTAACAATTTTCGTCGGTTTTCATAATAGGTTGGGCAATCTATTATAAAATGTAATTCATACGAAGGATGAATTTTGGCTGGGGGGGGGGGCAATGGATTTGTTTGAATTTCCGTCCGAGATTTGTTATTGAGGTCCTGAAGAAGCATGGTGACTTGTATATTTTACATGTGGCTGCACTTTAGGTGATGCAGTGAAACGGCATGGCACCCCAGCGCCCTGTGTTGTATGTGGTGTGGTATCATTTGATTTTATTCTATTAGTTGCACATTAAACAAAACAGACAGTAATAATACAAAACAAGGATAAAACCAGGTGCAGGAGGAGGGGAGAAGCAAGGAATGCTTATACAAAGCCCTCCTCCTCTAAACTATACAAAATTAAATATAATCAATAAATGGAAATAATACAATGGAAAATGGAAATAATACAATAAGGATAATCAAATAATATACGGCATAAATTAATGACAATGAAATAAGGTAATGTAAGTTATAAATACAGTGCTATAATGATAATGATAATATAGTATGAGTTAAAATAATAGAAAACACTAAATGAAACTACTACAGGGGGCTAGGTTCGTTTATCAGATGGTTTTTCAAAGCTTGTTTGAATGAGAGAAAAGACAAGGTAGGATTCTTTAGGGCTGGAGTTGGTTCATTCCATAAGGTGACACCTTTGTATCTAACCGACATTTGGGCAAGAGAAGTTTTTTACTAGGGGGGTATGAAAGTCGTTTTTCAAGAGCTTGTTTCTTTAGTAGTTCAACTGAAATAGCGATGGGAAAGCCTTGGCACAAACCCCGAGCCGGTTGTTCCAAATTGAGATCATTTACCTTACGGTTACTATACCACACTGTTTTTAAGAATGGTGTGTTTGCCTGTATTGTGTATTATGATTGTGGTATCACCATCTCCATGTCGTGTAACATAACTGTTAATGTTGTGTCTGAAATTGACACTAGCCGTCGTTTTAACATTATTCATTACTAAGTATATTAGAATCTTAGATTTCTTGTTTTTGTATATTCCGGTCTGCTGTATCCACACGCGTGCTTTATCAGTTGCCATGCTCAGGCACCGTACTGGATAGTCCACGCGTATCCAGAACCGTGTCTGGGGCAAATCTACGCTTGGGCATGCTGAGACTATCCAGAACCGTGCCTGATCCTAACCCTAACCCATTCAAACATAGAACTTGATAGGCACGGTTTTCGATACGATAAGGCCCTATGGCCTAGCTATGGGGACCAAACGAACCCCATTTTATCTGTATAGGTATACCTTTTTTTTCGTTTTCCTTGACACTTTTTACTCCGTGAAGGCGGCATCCCTCCTGCAGGAGTATTGTGGTCAGTCGGTTTTTCGTGTTCGCAGCTAAAACACACGGTTCCTTTCGTTTAATCGGCAGGTAATTTTATACGTCGTCTGCTGGCATGTCCGTGATGAGGAACATATTTTTTAGTTTCACCATAGCTGTTTTCGTTGTAAATGTGACATTTCAGAAGCACCCTTAAAGGCATTTTGGACTGAGCGCAAAAAAACCCCATTGTTTTGACATAGCTTGATCTAATTATAAATCCGCAATACAATATTTATATATTTGATTATTTTGATGTAAAATAATCCCATGTGTCCATGTGTGGCTTTGTAACATGTTTGTTTGCGTGTCTGTATATGTATTGTAATGTAAATGTGTATTTGTATTTGCTTTGTACAAAATTGTAAAAATCAGTGTAATTCAGCTTGGTTGACTTGTGAAACTGGCTGCAAGGCTGATTTTATTAATAAAACTTGAAACTATAAACTTTTTTCCAATGATCCAACTTTATTTCTCATATTTTGTCTACGGCTCTATTTGCAAACGGTAAATTGTTTGCTGAAATATTGCTATCTTAAAGTGCATAAAAATGAATATAAGAGTTAATTGCAAAACCACTATTAGTATTATTCGTCGATGAAGGTTATACATCCAGGTAATAAAGCAGTTATTAAAAAGGAATTTTCCCAAATCATATCCAGTTGCTTAAGTAACTGCTTTTTGGCGTATTATTATTATTAATTACGTATAATTGTCTGTATCTTCAACGTCTGACCATTCAAACACCCATATACTGATACGCTTGTCAAGTTTGCCTAAAAGTATTTGTTTCATATTTCTGTTATTGTTACCTATTGTTTTTCATTACTCTAAAAATAAGAGACATGTGCTGATGTAAATAACTAGATCTTATTACTGTAATGAATGAAACTATCATTCTACTGATAACAGTTATATGTTAATTGGATCATGAATTTTAAACGTTATAATGATAAGTATATAAGTAATAATAAATATAAAACAATAAGGCATATAAATAAACATATTAAACCCTACATGTACATATTGAAGACACTTTTGATATACAATCAAACCTGCCTAAGGCGACCAGCCAGGGGACCGAAGAAAAGCGGCCACCATTGAAAAGTTGTCTCCTAAAGAGGGTCGCCTCACAACATGACTATGACATAAAATGGTTTTCAATGCATCAAATGCTGTAAGCATCTTCTTTCAGTTCCGAATTCCGTGGTAAATTCATGTGGGGAGGGTGGCACATGGCACAAAAACATCGTATAGCAGTCGAGGCAGACTGGCTGTTTTTTCAATGATTTCTCATTAGTTACCATATCGACACGGTCGAAAATGACGTGATCGCCATGGGCAGGTATCGGGCGTTGAGCGGTTGTCCAAGTGGTCATCACATTGGACAGATCGCTAATGCTTGTGTCAATGGGGAAAATTTTTAGCCTGGAATCCATCCGTGAACGCTTTATCTCCGCTCCGTTCCTCCGCTCTGCCTTCACTTGGCTAGAAAATTTTTGTGACCAAGGAAAAGCGGTCACCATGGTCAGGTGGACAGCTTGAATATGTGGTCACCTAGGCAGGTTTGACTGTAACTTCTACTGAAAAATGCCAATAAAAAATAATAAAAAATAGAAGTCATGGATCACATTACTTCGTCGCCTGTCATTTTTGTTGGCTTTCTGTGACAGTAATTTCTTTTGCAGTGTGCAATGCAATGTATCGTTGCAGTTTTGCAGATTGGTTCGGCTCAGATCGACATTTAGTGTATCTTGTCACACATACACCATGCCCATCTGTTGTCTAGTGGTTTGTAAACGTCCGGAAATTATCTGCATAATTTATCCAGTAGTAGAGTTTGAATTTCCCATGAGCATTCAGCATTAGTCTAACCTTCATCAGCGTGACAATAACTTTGGCGTGGCGTCGTGGATAGAGCGTTCGGCGCTCAACAAGACGCTTGATCCCGGGTCGGAGCACAGGGGCATGTCCGAACCTGCACCCGGCGTTTTCTATTTTACAATTCTAGAATTAGGGGGCATTTTGTTTACTCAGTAAAAAAAAATGATGTTCGAAAACATTGGACCTGTATGTTTTATTTTTAAGGCACACATGTACATTTAAATACATGTGAAGGCATTTAAAGATGAAACCATTCATTTAACAACATCATAAAACTACAAATATGTAGTTTGATACAGTTTATTATTCACACTCTTGACACGAAAACTGACCTGGTTACATGGAGCAATGCACCAGAGTGACAATCGATTCGGTTTTCTTGTTGCTCGGTTGTATAAAAACATACAGGCAGGGTTACCAAACTAGCCGAAGGCTTATTACAAAGTGCTAACCCTGGCGACTGACCAATATACAATTCCATGACCATAATGTAATATATAGAGAACACAATTTAGAATACAAACGGATAGAACGTTCAAATAATTATAACGCGGCACAGCACTCAAGCTTTAATTAACACTAAGTATTAGACACTCAGTATGTTTTTACAATTTTACACCATATACCAAACCAATCATTCCAACCAGCAGTAGTTTGTTACAAACAAATAGCCTTGTTGGTAGAAGTGCATCTTGTACAATAAAAATGATAACAAAACATCATATAGTGTAATACTGAACTTTATTCCAACACAAGGATACACAATGGTCACATTCTAACGACTACTGTCGCCTTCCTCGGTATAAATAGTGACCAATCACTGCCAAACGTGACACGTGACCCTATTCAAATCACAGAAGACTTAACGGATATATGACGTCAGCAATTGGTCAAACGTGTCAGACAGTTTATATCGTCCAACGTCTCTGTTTATATAGTGGCTGGAGTGCCCTCTGATATAGTTATACCTCTTACAAAGTAGTCCTACTCAGTGTACAGTATTTTGACTATTTCCAATGAAACGTTATGGTCCGGTGATTCAATGTGGATGCCATTTCTTACCCTTATTAAGGCGACAGTTGTCGTCGAAAATTTGATCCTTGTGTACCCTTTGTGTTGGAATAAAGTTCAGCATTGTAACTATGATAACTACCAACACAGATGAACTTCCACGAAAACAAACATCAATATAAAAACACATAGCTCTGCCGTTTTAAAAGTTAGACGTTCATAAGTAAACTCCCTGTCACACATTCAGAACCTTTCAACCAAGGTTGACTGAAATTAGGGAGCAGTCTGAGCAGATCATTCTGTACGGATCCAGTGGAATATGAATTAAATGTGAGTCCAATTTGACCCTTCCTCAAAGAACGCATCCCAAACATTGCTGACCTACTCCCAAACACCAGCTAACCAGTCCCTTACCATGTCCATACCCGGCTATGTACGGAAGGGGTTAAGTTAATGTTTGATAAAGGCGCGTTGTTCTACATTGTAGATTTGCTATTCCCAGATGTTATTCCTGCCGAGGAAGGGCGATTCTCTCCCTTTCAGTACCGTAGACACCGGCGGATCCAGGCGGCACTCTGGGAGCGGGGCGCCGTACACGTCGATTGGCGCGTTGCGACGTCCTGTCCTGGCTCTGATGGATAGAAGAGACACTTTATTACCTTCACCAGAAGGGTATGATTTCGGTTTGGCCATGGTGGAGTGGCTGTGATGTGGGTCTGTATATATGTCAACTGTATAAGTCGAGAAGCTGTGAATGGACTTCCATGATATGATATAAAGTCGGTAGGTAGCGATTGTCAAGTTTGAAAATGGTTCACCTGGTGTTTTCCAATGGAACTGCAGTGGGCTTTTTTGCATGTGTTGTGTGTGTACAGCATAACTCGAGAAGCTGTGAATGGATCTTAATGATATTTGGTAGGTGTGTAGCGGTTGTGAAACGAAGGTCAAGTTGAAAAAATGGTTCACATATTGTTTTCCTACCTTAGTCTGTTCCTACCATCAGTTGTGTTTGTGTTTTTGTTTGTGTACAGCATAACCCTAGAAACTATGCATGGATGTTCATGATATCTATAATATAATATCTAGTGTCTGTGAATTTTTCAGCACAACCAAAGAGATGGTCTGACTTACCACGACATACGGGCCTACGACAGAAGCCTTGCTGACTGACACACCGAAAACAATACCTCCTTATGCGTATGGGAGGTAATAATTCTACCTCAGGCCAAATGTACATGTATATCCCTATGAGTACATCAACAGTGCATTGTACCTTTTGCAGTACCATGTTACTCCGATGACTGCGGCGACAGCTACAGCGGCCAGAGTCCCGCATGCCACGATGGTCACCGTTTGGGCTGGGGCCCCTGATCCTTTTGGGTCACTCTCTCCTTGTCTCTTCGTAGGTATCATGGTAGTGACGTCTGAATAAAACATGTAAAACAACAAATCTCAGATTCTAAACTTAAAAAAAAAATCATCTGGACGTCAAAAGTTATTCATGGCGAAAATCAATTCGTAAGTTATAGATATGAAAACATAAACACGACCAAAACGCGGAAGGGTATTTCCTTACCCGTGGGTAATAAAGATCAAGTCCTTAGATATGTACATTGGCCGGGTTTTAGGACATGCTATGTATATAAAAAGGTTCTAAGCAGTACTGATATACCTCTCTCTCTTTGACAACATTATAAATGTTTCCTGCATTATGTACAATCTGAAGACAAGAAATGCTTTTTAAAAACTGGCCTGGGGAGGGGGGGTAGAGAATATCTGGTTGACTGACGTGAGTTTCATGATGAAGTGTGACTACTCAGTTGGTGTAAGGCGTCCCACGGTGTCAGTAACATTGTTTATATCTATCTATCTATCTAAAACTATTAATGTCATGTTGTTATATTTCTTAGATATTTATATTTCTATACCTGATATAATGTATAATTCTTTAACAAAAACGTAAATCGAGGAACTATTCCCAACATCAGAGACGTACGGTTTTTGGAGGGTACATTCTTACATCTGTCAACATTTTGAAACTGTTTTGGTATATTCAAAATATTATTCCTGACTAACGTGAGTTTCATGATGAAGTGTGACTAACATAATTGGTAACCTTAGTGACTTAGATTGGACTTACGCTTAAAAAGACTAGACTCGTGCTCAGATGCACGATTGTTATGCATCACGTTTACGTGCGGTGAAAACTACGTACACGTGTCACTTCTTTTTTCAGCCCTCATATAACCAACGCTCAACATGGTTCTCAGTAAAAGGCTGGAGGCCTTGTGCCCCCCGGCAAAAAACAAGAACAACGTTGTTATGTGACGATAAATGATGAATAAATGAATGAATGAATGACGACCTTTATTGCACATTTTTGCCACACTGTCACTGGGCTAAGTACAGGTCAAAACAAAACATAATGTGGCGTGGCACCACTGTTGCAAATGTGCCGTTTGTTCCCTCGCGTGTTCCTTTACGCATGCTTTAATAGTAGATTCTTTATTGACAGAACAAAAAAGTACAGAGACTTTTGTATGGTCTTCTACAACTTAACTAAAGATCTAACAAAGCTAAATACATGTGTGGATAACGTTATCTTTCGTACATGTATATGTATGATGTAACAATAAAGGTTAACTATTCTCTAACATGTGTTCTCTAAGATTAAGATGTGCTTTAATTTTTAAGATAGGATATCGTGCAGTGCACTTTCTCACCTTCGCCGTAGATGTATTCCAACAGAGGAACTACATCTGCAATGCGCCCTGCATCTCCAAGAGCAACCGCTACCTCCTCCATGGAAGTGTCCACCATCATCCGGAGGTTGGAGATGGAGATAGGACGAAGGGTTGTTCCAAGGCTGTCCGGATGTGCCACGAAGAAAGCCAGGAGGCTCTGTCCGGATCCGGAGGTTGCCGACTGCCGGGGGTAACCGGGAGGAATGAACACTAACTCCGCGGTAAACACGGCGGCAATGTATCTGTGAAGAAAATGTGAAGGATGATGACTGAAGATAAAACTGGTCCACTGGTCGTGACAGAGAAGACAGACGCTATGTACAGTATTTACAGGTTCATTGTACCGGGGAAATTCCCCTAGCTCTTTTCAACAAGCACAATGAACAGTGGACCACGGCTTAAGGTCCCGTCCTAATACCCCCGTCACATTGTCGACGAGCTTCGGCCGTATTTGTCAATCGCCGAAAGATCGGCCGATTTCGAGATCGACCGACGATCGCGCGTATTTTTGGCTTGAAAATCGTCGTGGTCACATTGTGCGAGGCTCGGGCGATCGCTTGGGAATACATCTATGATAATTAAGTCCCTATAACATGGCAAGCAGATGAAGCAAGGCCAGTGTATCCACCTAAACATGAATAGTTTGGCCAATTTTTATGTTTGACCTGTCGTAATATTTTTTTGCAAAGTAATGGAGCGGACTGGCAGAATAAATAGAAATATAAACAGGAATTCTGTGAAAGATGCAACTCAAATACTACCACAAGAGCCACAAATTTACACTACCGTCTGGTTAACACAACGACCACCTTTTTAACCAGACAGGAGTCGGCCGAAGCTCGCTCGACACACGGGCGTACGTCGCCCGAGTTACGTTCGACGATCTATCGATGTTCGCACGATCTCTAGACCATTCATCCAAAATGTACAACAACATAATGATTATCATTATATCAAAATCTATTTTATACACGTATACGTGTACCTGAACAAAGCTAATAAGATATATTATTCTAAAACTTAACCTCTATATATCTACTTCTGTCTAAAATAGTATAAATCCTCCGGTAAACAAGTTTATTATCCATTCAATGGCATCAAAGTAGACGGAGGTAAAAAGAGCCATGCAATATAAACTTCAACTAGTAAGTAATATCTCTCTATCACATGACGTTCTTGTGGACACCATAAGAAACAAGTCAACCTTATTCCAGAATGAACAAGTGTAAAAGTCAATTTATTATACAACCTCCTAAAGGAACAAGAGTAAAGGATTTCATTTGCGTTCAATCAGTTGGGTTCAAAATCTAGACTAGGCATTTGACTTTATATAGTGAAAACCTTTTAATTTTTTAAAAGTGTTAACAAATGTTGATTTAACAAAAGTACAAAAAGGACAATTTTATCTATTTTTATCCTTTCTCGTAAACATAACGTTAACAATCAGTGGGACGTTGCTCCTGCAAACTTTACAAGAAATAAATGTCACAGGTGCCAAATAAATAATGACTTCACAGGAGCTCGACCGAGGCTCGTAGAACCTTCGTCCGACACTGGCACGAAGATCGCTCGAAGCACGCACGATTTTAAAAACGTTGCGCAAGTCGGGCGAGGTACGGAAGAGGGTCTCCCGAATATTTCGCGAAGCTCGCGCGAGGGTCGACCGTATTCAGCGACCATCGCCCGATTTTTGAAGACAAAGAACGGCCGACACTCGTGGGATGTACGCCCGAATATCGGTCGACTCTCGGTCAGACAGGGACGAGCTACGGGCGAGGTACGCGCGAGCTGGAAACGAGCTCTGCGACCTCAAAAATCGCCGGCGACTAGTCGCTGATGTTAAGAACACGTTTCGCGTGTCAGCGAGCTTCGGCCGACTCCAAAAAATCGCCGGCGATCCCGAAAATTCGCGCGATGTTCGACGGAACATCGGGCGTACTACGGCCGTAAATGTCGTTTAGAGGTCGCCAACTAGTCGGCCGATCGATTTACGCGCAATGTGACGGGGGTATAAGGACTGCGACCCTAAACAGTAGCGTGCATGTCGGGTGAGCGACATCAGCCGGGATTCGAACTCCCAACCTCTTAGTCCAGAGGCAGGATCGGTAACCACTGGACTACGCACGCTACGCCCTGCAAGAAAATCTAATGTCATAATCATCATCCGCCTGTTTATCAGCCGGGACCAATTTAGTGCTTATTTCACTCCACATAGCCCTGTCAAGCATGAACTTACCATATTCGATTCCAGTGTCTCTAATTTAAGTGTCAGTAAATGCCAAACTTCTGCAATCCATATCTTGTCCCCGCCCTACCCTTAACCATGAATTGGTAAGCCAGTGTTCCGGAGGCTATAGATATATTCGGTTATGTGGGACTTTATAAGGATCCACAATTAGCTAAAATCTCTAATTCTTCCATTGATCCGTAACATATAATTTACACCAAACACCAATACAAAAAAAATAATTGTCACACAATAACACGGGTAATAACACTGACCACCATACTTGAAATACATGGTATACATTAACAAGTTCATTCACCAACTGTCCTAGTAATGTGAAGTGTTCTAGCTCTAAGACATGTGGTACAAGAATCTGGGCTGTTTGAAAGATTTTTTTAAGTTGAACGTGTTATGTACTGATTGTTCTTTTACCGAAAGATGAGTTGTTGGGACAGGGCTTTTGGCATTCCTGTGTGTTGATGAAGTGTGCAGAGCTTCTTTGTTAAATTCTCTCTATCACCGGTAGCAAACCTTGTTGTTTGAAGCAAGGTAACAAAAGGCGAAAAACTGTAATTAAATTAGAGAACACGTACGATCTCGCAGGTCCGGACACTCTGCAGTCGTGAAGCTCGTGCATGTGTCTCCGACAGAAAGACGTCATCTCCTCAGCAACGACGGTCTTGAAATTCTCTAGTCTATCAGCCGTCAGCTACAGGGGAGAGACTCAAAATAATGAGTATATTCTATGGAAGCGAGTGTGCGAATGAAAAAGTTTGGCAAAAACGTTGCCATTTTCATGAGATCATTCCTTGGGCCTTTGTCGTCTTGCCAGACGATCTACAGCTTCAGTCATTCTCTGAGATGAGATCATTAAGGTTGAACAAATGGCTGAACACACAGAGTATGGTATGATAAGGCGAAAAATAGACTCTTCATTTTCATTTCTTCACATTTTCTGTTAGTAGAATATTCCTCAATCAGTGACTGACTTTTTTTAAAAGGTAGAAACACGTACCTCTAAATTTTCTTTTGGTCAAATTTTCTTCTTTTCCGTTTTCATTCTAAAATATCAGTATCGTTTTCCAATACTTTTGCACATGGCTCATTTTGCAACTGCTTTGTATGATTTACTGTATGGTGAAAAACGTTTAATTTTGCAAACGAATGAAAATTCATGCGCAGGCGGAAATTATCCTTATAATCAAATCGCCATGGCCTAATGAATAGTACTAGTAATTGTAATTGTAAAATTAATCTTGCGGACATGCCGCAGAAGGCATGAAGGTGTGTCCGTGTCACCGTCCACCGTGTATATTTTTTTTTAGAGAATTATTACAAATAAATGGACAAAGTGACAACGGACTCAGCTTGTACGCAACTTATTGATGTAACATACTCGTATATATGCATTTAGCCCCATGGGCATGAACATGCAATTAAGATTCACTATATTTTCACCGCTGCATATAAAACATCTGACAAAACTCTAGCTTCAACATACTAATAAATGAATAGATACATACCAGATATCTAGTTATTGAACACGAGTTTGAACAAGTAATAAAAGACACAAATACCTAAAAATGTTTTGTTGCTTTGATGTAGCCTTGTGTTGCTAGCATGATTTTCCAGTTGGTATCAGAAGAAAAATCCAAACTACCACGAAGAATCAAAAGTTATGTGACATGTAAGAGTGGACGTTTTGTGTATTGCCAAGGAACAAGGCACGGTGTTTACATATGCGGCACATAGTCTTGTATGGCCCAACGTACCACTGCGTAACCTGACACCGTACCACCTAAAACATTTAATGTCTAACTGATGTCGATGTAACTAGTAGATTATATTGCTCACCTCGTCTATATACATGTCCAGTGTCAACAAGATGGTGTTCCTCTCCAACTCACCAGCCACACTTGGATCTGTATGAAAATAAAGGGTAAGGAAGCCCTATTGTTTGAGGTACATTTTCAACAATAGAAACTTGTGTGTACATAGCGTTACAGGAGAAATTAGTCTCATTCCCCACATAGAAGTTACGTCGATGGAGGTTAGTCATCCATGCAGATGGTAAGATGTGCCAAAAATCAATTGCTCAGGCAACTGGATATGACTTTTGGAAACGGTCAGGTTTCATATTTTCCACATTCAGTGACCGTTTCCAAAATCACATCCGGCTGCTTGAATAACTGATTTTTGGCGCATACAGTGGTTAGTTTCCCACTTCAACATAGCAACTTGGAGTTGTGCCCTCCACACAACAGAGTTTCAGGTAATACCTTTGGTCCGACCTTTTCCTGCCGTGGTAAATGGGACTGTATCCCCTTGGTGTACTGTAGTCCCCTCTTCTTCTTCTTCTGAAGAGGACTGAGAAGCAGTTGTAGCAGATGAGCTTCCAGTTGTTTTCTCGACAGTTGTTGGAATCGAAGACCTGTAGTGGTGAACTTCGGTTGTCGATAGCGGAGTTGTTGCAGCTTCTCCATCAATTGTGGATCGTTCTGTGATCTTGCTAGTGATGGCAGATGATGGTGGCATGGTCTCGGTCGGATGCTCCGTTGTGTCTTTCTTGCCCGACGCTGTAACAGGGGATGTGACCAATGGCATCGCTGGTCCTGAAGTCGTTGGCGTTGCAGTTGTAGTTGTAGGCACTGTTGTGGGGCGTGTAGTTGTAGTTGCAGTTGTAGTTGTAGGCACTGTTGTGGGGCGTGTAGTTGTAGTTGTAGGCACTGTTGTGGGGCGTGTAGTTGTAGTTGCAGACACTGTTGTGGGGCGTGTAGTTGTAGTTGTAGGCACTGTTGTGGGGCGCGTAGTTGAAGTGGCGAACTCTGTAAAATATTAAATTGGTTTTTAGGCTGCGGCATAGAAATTCAATACATTAGTTTATGCTTGGATTATGAGAAGTATTTAGAAATATTTTTTAAATCTAAATTTGGCTTTTCCAAGATTTTCCAGTTTCACATTTTTCAACTTCCAGTACAATGGTAGTATACTGGTAATACAATATGCTATTTTGAATTTTATAAAAGCTTATTTCATATATTAGCTATTTAATTAAAAAGGTATAACGTTGATAGCAATTTTGGGGCATAAATTGGTCACACAATTTGTTTGTTTCAACAAAAGTTTCAATATTGCGTCGTCAATAGTATTTTGATAATATGTGTAACAAAATTTAACAGAATGCAATGGACATTTAGTAATAATTATATAAAACGATGCACGATGTCATTGATGCACCCTGGTTTAAGAGCACACGATTCAGAAGTAAACGTCCTAAAAGTCCTTACCTCTCACGCATAAGCCTTCAATGAGTTCGGTTCCTTCCTCACAGATGCACGAGTAACTCCCCACCTCGTTCTCGCAAACCTCGTTGGTCGAGCAGTTGAAGAGGCCCTCGAAACATTCATCGATATCTGTGAGAACAAAATGGTACATGTTTCTCAAACGGCAAAATCTGCAGTCAACACAGATAATCCCTCATTGTCTTTTTCTTGCCATCGTTTGTTTATGTGCGTTTAGAGCTTTCTATAATCGATGTGATGTAACGTGAAACAATAAAATGTAAATCGGTCTAAGAATTTTACCTGCAGAGGAGGCAATCTTGGGATGAAAGCCTCATAGTTATATGAAAATACGATTTCCGAGCCTGTATAGCTCTAAATTGAAGCAATAAAAACATGATAGGGACGTGAAGAAAATAAATGTATATATCTAACCCTCGCAGGGATGCACTGGGTTGTCCGTCAGTTCATAGCCGTCCTCACAGTAGCACTCGTACGCGCCTATAGTGTTGTTACACAGCTGGTCACAGTGATTGTCACCGGTAAGGCATTCATCAATATCTGGAAATACAAAATAACATTTTCAGATACCACATAAGGTCATATCACTTTGTTTGTTTACTGTTTATTGTTTCTATTTATTATCTATTTGAACCTAAAAACAAGTCAGTTTGTAGTAAACTAGTTTGTAGAAGGAGAACCCCAAAACGTACAGGTTTATCGGAGGGTTCCCCTTAAATATAATTAATTGTATAATTGATTTTCGTCAGTTACATATCTTGACCCCAGATGCATTGTAAATTAAGATTAAACAAAAGTAAAAAAGCAAATCATTATAGATACAGGTACATATGAATATGGAGTTAACACGACGAACTAACATGTAACTAATTAATGAAGTAATACAATCAAATAGCATATCAAATTTACAACAAAAAAGAAATGAAATTTCATCAAGCAAATTATAGAGGCAAATAATTTAGCGCGAATTAAAAAAACAAGAAAACAAGAAAGACAGGAAAATCAAATAAAGAAGTAGTAGTTGGCTTCTCTATCAACTCATTTTTAGATATCTTTTACAACTAGGAAGAGACTGACAATTCCGTTGCAAATGACTTGAACTGTTCCAAATTGAAAGTCCTGTTAAAATATCGTAAAATGTTCTTCCTTTGTAGCAAAGAAATTACCTCTCAAATAGATACCTATATTGATATTGTACAATGATATGTGTTTTCTAAATAGATATATACGTGTGAACAGTTTGGCATAGCCATATTTGCCATATTGTCAGTAGTTTTTAGCCCTATTGGCAACAATTAAAACGTCTGATAGTATACACAAGTGCTAACCTTCACATGTAACCCCATCGACGTTGAGCTGATATCCTGCCATACACACGCAAGTCGCTAGTCTAGAGGACGAGTCAATGGCACACCAGCCAGAGTCATCGTCACAACCTGGGTTGTTCTCCATGCTGCAGGGGTTGCTTGCTGGAAGCAACGGCGAGAAGTTAATTTACTTCAGGCTGAATCAATCAAATACGTCATCTGTTTGCAGGTCCTGTCATAGAACGCAGTATGTACATCTACTAATTTATTATGCAAATTACACCCTGCTTTGCATAATTTGCATTTAATCATGCCAACCATCACCTAAGATACCTACCAGCAAAAAATCACGACGATCCATCAGCTTCCAAAGATATTTTCAGACATTCTAGCACAGTTCCTAGAAATCTTGCAGACTTGTTACACATTGTACTATTAGGCTCGCCCCTGATGTGTCGCCAAAAACTTACGTTCACAGTTTTGTCCATCTGCTGCGAGCATGAAACCGTCCTGACAGCTACAGTTGAAAGATCCGTCGGTATTCAGACAACTTTGGGTGCAATTGTTCGGGAGATCACATTCATTGACATCTGAAACAAAAATAATAAAAATTTACAAACCTAAGATTAATTCTTAGCAGTTAATAATCTGAAAGTGTACTAACTTAAAGATAATTCTTTCTGGTTAACACGCCTGTTTTTTTTTTATTTTAAGGCCAAACTGATTTGATCATATGGATGACATCCTCTGGGCACTAAAAAAAACATGTCATTGATTGACCCTTTCGATATTCCATTTATTAAATGCAATTTTATATGAATGGTAAGGAAAGTTGTACACACAGACTGAATACGCATGGTATGGTACGTACATGTATACCGATCAATGAACTCTTTATCTTAAAGTTTGTTCTTTCCCATCGTCTTTGACTTTGGAAAGTTGCAGAGGTAATTCGATTTTCTTCTTTTCATTTTTGACCACTTTACCTAAAAAACATTTGGTCCTAAACTTTTATGTTTTCAAGGAAATAGAAAAAAAATATTCGCGTGGATGTCATCCATGTGAAGTCAGTGTGGCCTAATATTTAAAAACGTGCTTCAGTACCACGCAACAGACACCCCTAGTAGGTATAGTTAGTTAGCAAAATAGAACAATTGTATAGGTTACTATAAGCGCTGAACGTAAAAGTTCTTGACGTTAAGACAGAATACACCAACTTGTACAACAAATGATCTCTTACCTTCACAGGAAACCGCGTCATCTGTTAGGTAGTAGCCTTCGTTGCAGCCGCAGGAGAAGTTGCCGACACTGTTGATGCAGACATGATGACAAACAGATCCTTCTGTGGTGGTGCACTCGTCGATGTCTGGAACAAGAAGAATAAGAAAGAAGATTGCTACATGCCTAGATTGACCCTTTCGATATTCAACGTCATAACCACACTCATAAAGAATGCCCTCTTCATGCATATATATACGGGATATGTGTTATAACATACCAATCTGTATCTGTATAGCCGGTATAACCGCCCTTCGGCGTAACACAATTACAACAGCTTCGCTGACACGGAGCGCGGCTGTAGCTAGCATCGAACAACTGCTACACCCAAATCTCTGCACGTTTAACTGTAGCAAGGCTCAAAATTAACTTTTCTTCCTATTGTCCCAGCATTGTCCCGAAAATAAATTTCAATTGTCGCGATGAACGTCCCCAACCTGTTTTTGTCGTATGTATGAATGTATGTATGACAACAACTTGAAGTCAACACTATTTTGCTTACGTTATGACTCCCATGCGCGCTATAATTGCAGAGTACACAAGACATTTGGGGAGGAGAAGGGGTGGGGCTTTTCCGGAGCCAAAAGCCGGGACGTGTGCCTGATCAACAAAAAAAGGGTTGACATTGTGATGTTGATTATTTTTCTATTGCCCCAAAAATGTCCCAAAGTGACTTTCTAGTTGTCCCCGCCTAAATTTAGTGGTCACTGGCCGTTAATTTCGAGCCATCTGTAGGTGTTCTTTAAAGATTTCTAGTGATGTTCTTGAACATTGGCAATGAATTGCACTCATAGTGTTTGTGGAGAAAACTAGCTACTCACCGATGCAGGTCTGTCCATCTCCGTGAAACCCAGGCGGGCAGTCCCCGCAGTCGAACCCGTCGATGTCGGCTGGCGGTTGCCGGTCTGTGCACACAACTCCCGAGAAGCAAGGGTTAAAGTTCTCGACGCATGCGTCGATATCGCTTTCGCACCTCTTTCCGGTGTACCCAGCTGGGCAAGTACACTCCAAAGTGGTAAATCTGAAATTGAGTTGAAATTAAAGATTTTACAGTTACAAATTACTGCAATGTAATTATACAATGAAATGGTGAAATACAATGTGTATACTGGTGAAAATATGATTTCCATTGCTCAAATTTCCCGCGATCATTAAATGAGGAGGATATACTACTACTAGTACTTCCTGATTTGTTTGATTTCCTTCTTTTTATGTTATGTTTACTTTCCTTCTTTTTATGTTATGTTTACTTACTTGCGAAAGTATTTTGGCATTCATCTATTACACTTTTTGTTATGCTTAATACCTTATCAGTTTGTTTTTGCAATTTGATTTTCTTTCAGTTCTGTTATGTTTTGATTTGTCATTTGATATGTCATTTGATTGTTTTACTTCCTTAGTTAGTTAGTTATTATTTTTTCATTGTGTATCTACTGTAGTAGTATTACTATTTGCTGTTTGATCTTATTTACATATGAATGTGTGTTATAATGGTCAGTAATTGTGATGATCATAGATAATTAATTGCATTTCATTTCAGGTAAAAAAAAAACTTGTTGAGTTTGTGGTTTCTCCTGCATTTTTTCTTTATCATTTACGACAAAATTATTTGTTTCATGTACAAATTACCAATAAAAAACGATAAGCAAACTCGAGTCCGAGGAACACATGCCTTGCAAAGAATTATTAAGATGTAAAGAACATCATGTAAATAAGTATTTTTAAGTGTTAGTATTTTTAACCTTTCAAGTTAATGTGTTATGGTGGTCCAGTCTTGTTCAGTAACTCCTTGCAGCTATCTTGGGACTACCCCTACATCCAAGCCCCTTATTTCCTTGTGCGTTGGTGCACAGGTGTAGATTTCACATTTTTTTCACATTTCCCTCAGCACGATTTTTTTGTATCGTCAATCACATTTTTTTCACATTTTAGTTTCACATTTTTAATATTAATATAATAATAATTGTTTATTGATTGATCGATGAGTACAATCGCTAGCACGTGGCAGCGTAACTAAAAAGTAGCTCTGAATTGCATGCTTCCAGACGTTTACGTTCACATTATTTCACATACGTTATTAACATTTTTCCAAGCATCACATTTTTTTTCACATTCTTGGCCCCAAATCACATTTCTTAATTCACATTTTCTCAAAATTTCACATTTTAGGCTTTCACATATTTTTTAACAAAATCACATAATATCACATTATATCACATTTTCCAATTTTGTTTTGGCTCAAATTCACATAAAGTTCACATTAATGACCCTGAAAGTGATATATATATAGAGAGCAACGTGCCACATTACTCTGTCACATTTGTTTCTCAGAACACAAAACCTAGTTACACAGTTCTAGGAACAAAAAAACATGTCCTAACATAATTCAATATGATAAATAACCCTATTTGCTTAATATATTAAATATAATAAATTAGAAAGTAAAACATACTTTGTGTTTCCATCGATGTTCTGTTCCTCTGCAGCTTGTCCCTCACAGAACCCACCGTTCAGACAGGAGCACATGTTGACGGTTGGCCAGAGCTGGGCGGTCGCGTTCTCCGAATTCGTCACGTCAACCTGCAGGTTAAACGGCTCATCTGACGTCACGAGCCAGGAAAACGTCGCCACGTCACCCGCTACGGACAACGTGGCGTCAGCCGGGACTTCCGGGCCCAACTCGAACATCATGTCGAGGTCATTTCTGTCGGCGGCAGTCACGGTAAACTGGAGCAGTTCTCCCACAGTAGCGTTGACAACCTCTGGTCCTTGTAGTGTTGGAGGGAATATCTCTGCAAGTTTGTAAGTGATCCATAAGTTTATCAAGATCTAATTGGACATTTTTATTCAAATCAAAGCTCCATTATGCAACATCTGGTCATTTCTTTACAAACTAAGCTGAATCAACCCTACCGCATTTCAAACAACTTCTATTCAATAATAAGTGTAAGTGCCAAAATACGTCTTACGAGTGTGTTTAGAAAAGCTTGAAACACAGCTGTCAGCAATGTTTTTTTACCTTCTGTCCAGAAGAAATCTCCGTAATTTATAAAGGAGTAGAATTTTAATTTTCTATGAAAATAGTAGGAACATACCTCTGACTATCTTCTCGATCTCAAGGTCCTCCTTCATCACTACGGACAGCGCCCCAACTTCAACGTCGCCGGTCTCGAAAATGTCGAACAGACACTCCCTGTCGTCTCCACACACGGCATTGGCCTGCTGCTCCAGTTCTGCACTGCCGAAGATCACCTGGTCCGTGTAGTGTGGCACGTAGCTGCTGTCCTTGTACGAGTCGGTGGTCCTCCCTGGCTCGTAGAAAAATCTCGTTCTCTTTGGACCATCGTCTTCTGTCACTTGCCCTGTACGATAAATATAATCTTTATATTGACACAACTTAGGACATGTCAGAAGAGCAGGAACATTTTGCACCACTCAGATATTGCAAAGGACTATATAAAGAACAAACTGCGCTCGTACAGACTATTCAAATCTACTTATAATGAAGAACATTATCTTAATATCCCAAACGCAAGTCAAAGAACCACCATCACTAAACTACAAATCAGCTGTCATAAACTCAGCATCGAAACAGGAAGGCACAACCGCACACATCTGGAGCAAAGGATTTGCCAATTTTGTAGCTCAAACAAAATAGAAGACGAAGACCACTTTGTTATTGATTGTAGTTTATATAGTAATGAAAGAAATGATCTTTTTAGATATATTACAAGTACGTTTCCATACTTCCAATACTTGCCTAATATTGAACAATCCATCTTCCTTATGCGCTTTGATCATCCTGTACTATACAAACCCATTTCAAATTATAGTTTTAACATCACAAAGAAACGAGAAGAAGCCGAACTTCTGTATTAGAGTAGATTTAGAGCTGTTTGTACAACAAACATGTATATTACCCATTTCATCTGTTCACCTGTACTTAGCCCGGTAGGGCATGAATGTATAATAAAGGTTATTATTATATTAAAGGTAATCTCCAAGCAGATCAACAGGCAAGGCAGTAGCCATTGGCCAGAGGTGTGTCCATTAGGCATCGGTGGCTAATGGATATCGGTGACTATATTGCTAATGGACACTCTTCTAGCCAATGGATACTGCCTTGCCATCGTATGATCTGCTGGAGCCGTAGGAGAAGGATGTAGGGCGACGATATCGGATGGGCATACCACTGGCAGAGTGCTCTCACAGAGCCATAATCAGGAGGAATTTGACGAAATTGAATTTGATACTGGATGATGTTACCATAGTCTCCGACCCTCAGGTATGAGGATGGGACCTGGTAAAATGGTAAAGATATTGACACAGCAAAAGTACATCGGCTCTCGTAGGGTTTACTGATCATCATCTAATACTCATTATCATCACAACTATACATACATACATACATACATACATACATACATACATACAAACAAACAGACAGATGGATAAAAATGAATTAACCTACGTACAAGTATATGAAAAATAACATATCGAGTTGGACGTGTCACTTAAACTACTAGTTCTAAGGCGGTTGACTAGAGACTGTTTCATAGCCTGATTAAACTATCCTACCAACATCTGTGGGGAGGGGCTACCAAAGCCTCAGACCTCTGTATACCACACAGCTTGCGTAAGATGACGAAATGGAACAATTACGCAAGGTGTTCGTAAAGAATTGATTTCGTACATTGTTTGACTTACAATGAACGTTATAAAACTTACAAGTTTCTCCAAACTGATTGAAAATGTCCTCCTCAGATGCACCGCTCGGTAAGACACTCTCATCAAAGGCCACGAAGTCGTTCTCAGAGTCTCCGTCCCAGTAACCCAGGAGTCCCTTAGTCTTCTTCTGGTACTTATTGGGAACGGCGTACTCCAGGTGCAGCATTGCCTGGTGTGGATGAAAAGTATTGGGTGTCAAAAAACAATGGTGATCGTTACAAAAACGTTCCTTAGATCTCCAAGATCTAAAGGGCACTGCCTGGTGATGGTAATGATGATGGCGACGAAGATGCCTGAACTTAAAAAAGGAATAGTAAAAACATTAGCTGGGTTAAGATGCCCAGCAGAAGACACTCTAAGACCGCGATGACTTGGGTCCCCCAGGACGGCAGAAGAAAGAGGGGAAGGCCGAAGCACACCTGGCGCAGGACCTTCCAAGACGATCTAAGAAGGGCAAACATCCCCTGGGAGGAGGCTGAGATAGTGGCTGCTGATAAAAAGAAGTGGAAGCTTGCTGCCCGATGTGCGATCAGGCACAGGAGGAACTAAGGTCTAAGGTAAGGTAAGGTAAGATGAATATTATGCACTAGCAAGTTAAAAAAAACCGTCACACACAATGCTTATGGCCATGGCGATTAACTGGTTGCTTTGCGGATCACAAAGTGCTCATTATCAACATCTCTTTTGACTGTAACAGTGGTGTACGTTAGTACATTTCCTTTAAATCTACCAAGTTTGAATGCTGAATTGACCCCCAATAACTACATTTACACATTACGACTGTCCACCCTTCAGAAACACACGCAGAAACAGAATAGCATACCTGTGCTCTGTAGAAGAACGATCATGTAACTGCTAGCCAGTGCCTTGCGCTACCTAGCTCTTAGCCAGTGCCTTACGCTTCGCGCACTCGACCATTCATTCATCAGTTCCAACCATAGATTAGGACGCTGCATACACCGAAGGGTCTGATCATTATATAGTATTACTCACCTTCTGAGCCGTCACCTTCACTGACAGCTCGTTGAAGAAGAAGATCAGTAGAGAAGAGTTGGAAAGTGCGGATACTGAAGCGATATCCTCCACCTCTTCTTCATGTTCCAGGTCTTCAAAGAGTGCCATGTCGACGGCCGTGTAGTTAACGTACAGCTGGAGACCATCGGTTCCGACCAGGTTGATTTGGATTGGAGAACGGCCCATTTGATACGCGACAATGGAGGTAAACACTGTTGCGTGGCTCGTTCCTGGAAGGAAGGTAAGCAAAAGAAGATAAAGGTAGTCCTAGAGTCTACTTGAGGCCGAAGGAACAGGACTCTTATTTCTATATAACGCGCAGTGAACAACAAAATGACACTCATCAAAAAATTTATCTATTAGTTATTTACTAATAGAAAAAATTACGGCTCTCAGTGGCCAATATGAGATGTTGTCACATCGGCGCACCAAATCCGTAAGGTGTTTTTGGCACCCAGTTAGACAGATTAGCCTAAGAGGCTCGGTGGGCGTCACTCCACCGAATAGGTGGGGAAGTCGTGTAAAGTGCCTTTCCCAAGGGCACAACGTCGGGCCACGGTGAGTATCGAACCCGGGACCTCTTGGTTCCGAGTCAAACGCTCTAACCTTTGCGCCACCGACGCCACTTATTTACTAATATTAGTATTTTTTGGCTGCAAAGGAATTACAAGGAATATTATCATGTTACCTTTTCAATGAGGAGTTGAATAGAAAAAATGTTATTCTGACCTTCAGCCTGAGACGTCCGTGCCTGGACCTGGTACTCCCCATCGTCGAGATCCAGAAGAACATACTCGCCAAGGCCGTTGAACGTGTAATTCATCCCGTCCAGTGTCTGGATGTGCGGATCATACCACGAATGTGCAAGGGCTGTGGATAAAACAAGATATTTATCCATACAGGTATATTCTGGAAACGTAGCGAGGCATCAGGAAACGATAAGAGCCACCGAGTGGAGTGGAGAGTACGTAGAAGACGGCCCTGTAAGAGATTTAGAGACAGTCCAGTGCAACATCTGGGCCCTGCATGGCCAAGAGCTGCCAGAAACATACGAGAATAGACTTTATCCTGGGATGGGGGGTCTTCAGCAGGAATGAAGATGATACTTTTTTTACTTCAGGGAAGGTCGTTTTGATTTTCGTATGTGACTATGTTCGCAGATAAAAATCACGGGGGGTTTAAGGGTTTTCATGTGATCCTTTTTTTTATTAAATCTTATTTTGTTAAGTATTAAAATCAAACAATTTGACTCGCGAGCTCCCGTGCTGTATGCGATGCGCTCTATCTCTATGTCGTCTAAGAGATTGCAATATAATGATAAAATAATATACACAACATACCACAATTGATATTGTAGTTAGTGCAGCTGGAAACGGCGGTCGGGACGGAGCGCGGACGAAGCTGGTTGAACTTGTTGCAGTAGTACCAGGAGGAGCCGACACAGCAGTCCTGGTAAGCCTCCCTGTCTTCCGTCTGGTTATTCTGTACGAATACGTATTCAAGCCCCATGTCACGCATTCATAACGTTCCCCCGACCACCGAACAACTGAAGTTTGGATTGGGAGCAGTCTGACCAGCAGATTTAGGCTACACATGTACATACCTTTCTATGCAAATAAAATAAAATTTAAGTTGTTATATTTATGGGTTCACCACACCACGAAGTGGTGGTGAACCCATATTGCTTTTTCTGATGTTTCTTTTCTTTTCCTTCTCCTTCTCCTTCTCCTTCTCCTGCCATTTTTTAAATGGATTCAGCTTCTTCATTTTAGGGCCCAAGGTCCTGAAATTTGGTATGGAGGTACAGTGGGCAAATACCCCTAGGCGTTTTTTAAATTATTGCGATACAGGCTTTTAGAATGGTTTATTTGAGTTTTGGCTGTGTTATAGCAAATGTATTACTGTGCCTTGTTTACCACGTTTGGGCATGAGTCATCACAATGGAATGCAGGGCATCAACCAATAGGCATGCAGCTTTCCTCTATTCTTCTTGCTGATTGGCTGTTGGGATTTAACTTGATCAACACCTGCACAGAGCATTTCCACCTGCACAGAGCATTTCTTGCTGATTGGCTGTTGGGATTTAACTTGATTAACACCTGCACAGAGCATTTCCATACTGACAGTATGTCTTTATTCAAGTGTTTTGGTAGGTATTTCAAGCTTTTCTGCTCCAGCATTGGAATGCGGGGCATGGACGTTTTATATTTTGAAAATCAACAGTTTGCATTATGCAATTAAAAATCCTAACCAATAAAGTAGGGAATAGCTATCCAACTGTTGTTTTAGTTATATTTTACTTCATATTATAGTTATATCAATGTAAATCATTGTTTCCCTTGTGTTTCTCATTCTTCCCTGCCATGTCGTAAAATGTGGTGAACCCATCGCTGTATTTGCTCCAAAGCAAATATTGGCCTTTCTAGTTAAGTCTGATTTGACTCCCAACATCACCCCGACTACTACTGACCTGCTCCACCCAACTTCCAGCCAACCATGGCTGAACCTTGCGTCCACAGCCGAACATTTGGAACATTTTAAAACATTTGGATGGCGCAGTCTAACAGTAGCCGACATAGCCGAACATCAGCCAACCACAGCCGACCATGCTCCCGACCTACTCCTCACCATGGTCAGGAGAGTTCGGGAGGCCATATTCGGCTGTGTGGCAGCGGCTTACCTCTAACATCTAAAGATTGCATCCACAATGCTGCAGTAAATCAATTGTGCCCGCAAGTAATAGTGGTGAGTCCCCGAATTCGGTAATGCAAGCAGATAAAAGGTTTTCTTGATACGATGGTTGTGTAATGAACCCCCAAAAAAGTCATAAGCATGATTTAGAAGACAATTGATTTAGAAACAATGACGATCTTACCACCACAAGATGTCCTCCGAAATGGCCCCACTTTAGCGTGCCCCATCGAATCCTGTCCCTTGCCTGTTGAAGTTGACAATCGAAACAAAAAGCTGTTCATTGCAGTGACCAACTCAAAACTGCCATCTGAAGTCAAGTTCGTGATTTCTCTTTTTTTCCCTTTTTGCTTAGTAAGCATTATATGCTGACAGTGTAGCCGAAGGAGCAAAACTAATTTCCTTTTAAATTTATGGTCGATTTCTATAATTACAAATTTGCATGAAGTTTATGATGACTAACTTTCCACAGAAGCATAACAATTGTATAAAATTCAATAAAAAATAGCTGATGTGTTTACAGTTTTCTGACACCCGTAAATAATATCATCAGGTTGGTGAATGATTGAATAGCAAAGTTATCTTTTCTCAACAACTTGTTTAACAAGAGCCGGCGTTTCGATGACCGTCTGTCATCTTCATCAGGGCAATTATAGCTGGTCTACTACGCAAACAACCTTACGCCTAGCTCCAGTGCACAGTGAAACAGTAACACCTATATACCAGAACCAGTCATAGTTAACCTAACGAAGATGACAGACTGTCATAGAAACTTCGGCTCTTGTTAAACATGTTAAGTTTGGTCATTCTTTTTCCATTCAGATTGCATTCTAGTGTACTAGACAAACAAATGGTACCTACACATGGACATGGCCGTTTATATTCCTTCCAGTAGTAGCTCGGTCCGTAACAGCAGGTTCTCCACATCCGGTACATCTTGGAGTCAACGAACGAGCGAACTTTGACCCTGCTGATAGCGCATGTCTCATGACCGATCCATACGTATCGATTGAACTGCCAGGTGCGAAACTGCTTGATGTCAAAACCTACCCTGTACCTGTTTGGAAAGTGTTGAAGTCAAAAGTTTTTTTGTGGATTATTTGATTCAAGCAGCAATGAAATTACTAAATAACTGTGATAGAAGTAGACAATTCTTCTACTGAATATGAATTAACTTATGTATGTTAGGTTATAAGTTTTGCTATGACCTGAGATTTTACAATATACGAAAATACCTTAGACGCTAATTTTGATTATTTAATTTTTATACAATGTTTTATGTGCCAAGAGTAACTTTATAGATTGGTATACTGCCCATGTCCGATTGTATTGAAATGTTTTGTCAGCGGGGCTAGCCCTATGCAATAGCCACTGGGTAGTTGGTTAGTTATGGGTGTGCGTGTTGAACGGCAAAGCCTATAGACAAATGAAAATAAGGCCACACCAATTTAATTTCTTGGTTAACGGATTCGCCCGCTTCATTTTTTTCTGATTTGCAAATAAAAGTAAAAATTCAGAATCAACTGCAGAATGCTCATATTTTGCCCTGAACAGATGAAAACAGTCCTTTTCTTCCTATTTGTTACAGTTATTCCATTTTTCAATGCAGTGGTATCATTTAAAGTTAAAAATTCATTGTTTAAATTTTGAACCAGTCTGGTGTGTTGACTTCATGGCTCCTATCATACCATTTTGGGCCATGATAGGATGCCTAGGCCTGTTTTCATTTTTATTTTTTTCGCCCGCCCGCTCCATTATTTTTCTAGAAAAATCCGTTAACCAAGAAATTAAATTGGTGTGGCCTAAATGATAAATAAATAAATGCATCAATAAATAAAATGATAAGAATATGTGCAGCAACTTCAAATGCTAAATGATCTGGATATTTATGATGAGAGAACAAGGACAACCTCACGCAGTTCAGCTGCAGAACTTCCAGATTTAAGAATAGTACCTTACCCTAAGTGTCTAGTGATGAATATTAAGTGCCTCGATCATATTCCATACAATTGAAATGTAAGGCTAAAATGATACGTGTTTGCATAAGTTGCAAATAAGCCAGCCATTCATAAGGAATCGTACATGAAATAGGTCGACAGGCAATGTAGGAAAAAAGGACAAAGACGATACCTCCTATCGTGATAGGCCTGCTCCAGGGTGCAGGGGCAAGATCCGGGGGCCGGTAACTCATGGTAACCTGGCAGGGTAGTCGGGGTTTCAAACTCCTGCTTACGGATCCACGCCGAACAGCTCACCACTGCTTCCGCAGGAACTGGTCGAGCCCCTTGGTGTTGTAGTGCAAACTTCCAGTAGCCTGCAGTGCATGGACGTATGTGTCAAAATAAGTAAGTAAGAATATCAACATGTACAAAAACATGTAAAGCTGTATGATAAACATACAAGACCTCAGCATAGTATATCGTGTATTAGCACCTAAATGTAGAATTACTTGTAACAGATCTTTGCCGTAGTTTACTTAGCACTCTGTGAAGTGTAGTACTCGTAGTTTATAAAGGTGTAGCTTAGCACGTACTTGTACATGTAGAGGTGTACAGTCAGTAGTCCCATTCAACATTTTACCAAATGTATAATTTTTCTAGACCCATACCAGCTAGTAATTTTATCATATGCCATACTGTTCCTGCTACAATTGTTGTGCAATAAACCTTAATTGTATTGGTGTCTCAACGAGCATTGCAGTAAATACTGAATTAGAATCTATCATTAACATATTTTATTATTTTTATGGCTTTGTGCTGAGTTTCACGTTCCGCCGTTTGTTCGTTCGATGGTTGGGTGTCGGATATATTGCAGCTATATGAATAAAAACCACGTACCAAGCAGATGTCAGAGGAAAAGACTGGCCGATCAAATGAAACAAGAAGTGATGGAATTCTTTAATCGCTAATTAACTATTACAAAACATATCATGTCTGTTAGACAGAGCTCGTGATACGTTACAATTGTACATAGCTAAGTCCAGTCTTATTAGCATTAGTCCAATTCAAATCACTAAGGTGACTAATTGTTTCACATATGTAGGAGACAGATGTGAATACGTGCCTACCTGCTCTATTTGACGGAAGACGGAATAGAGTCCTCATCGCTTTGGTTCCCGAGTAAGGTGACATCCCCTCCACGTTACCAGGTCCTAAGCCCGTCCCGTCCCCGGCGCTGTAGCCGGCAACTGCCGCGTCCCGACTGGTCTTGACCCGCGGGCGGTTCTTATCTCTTGGCGTTATCGCCTCGTCTGTTGTAAAAATAACCAAACAGCATCTTTTGCTGCAGCATTCATAGCAAATACCTCAACTCGCCGCGTTGGGTCAGTTTTCTACATGGTTCACAAAGGTTTGAAAAATATAAAGTTCGATTGCGGAGAAAAATAGACTATATTCATGTGTAGGGTATATACTAGTACTAGTTTCTATACTGGTCATTTTAAACCACTTTGTAATGTTTTGTATGAATGTACATTGTAGTATACAAGTAGAACACACGAACAGTGCTACATCTATATTCTGACAGCGACTGACCTACCTGGAGTAAACCATTCCTGCTTAAGCGGGGGGTAGACGAACGTTGCAAACGACTCAGTGCCATCTGTGGATATGGCCAGTTGGAATGTATTTCGCTGTTGGCGAATGACGAGATCATTATAAGTACTTGGACAACAATATGACGAACGATGTCATTGTCATTCTTGTTTGCTATGTATAAAATAAAAAAAAATTGCTCAAAGCATACACAATTGGATGGCGGAAACAATTTTCCTCTTAACAATAACTTACATACTGGTCATTATATACTATGCTCAATTAATAATAATTTTTTACGTTTACGAAAAAAAAATCATATAGCATATACACCGTCTGACCTTTTCTTGACCTTCAACGCACAGCTTTTTTTTAAACAAGCGAAAATAAATGCGCACGCAGATGTCATCCATAAAATGAAATATACGTGAGGCCTAACTAAACGACATGAATATCGAAATATGTGTCTTGTTGCCATACGTTTTGCAAGAACACCACTAGTGTAAAAGGCCATTTTCCTGGGTCATCTACCGGGTCGCCTTGACTGTATATTAAGTCTGTGGATAACATGAGCATTTTGTATCGTGTAAAAAGTTTTCGGCAAACCTACCCGTAAACGAGACAGCTCCACGGGACAACCTGACTCAAAGACCGAGCAGTCTGGTGGAACGTTCGCCCACGTGATCACCATCGCCCAAACTGGTTTGTAATCTGTTATTGTGTGGAAAAAATATAACGTTAAAGACATAGCGGAATCTGGTTTCAAAAGCTATGTAAGCTAATGAAAGTTACATAAAAATTTTCGAGATATTGCACATGGAACGTGACTGTTCCACGAGTGAAATAAATCATCTGCACCAAGGCCCCCCAACATTCGCAGAACCGGGTCGGTAGCCGAAATCGACTTCCAAACACCTTTGAAGTCCGGTTGCTCCGGTTGCTCCCGGAAGCTCGCGTGTTATGAGCAACCGAGTTCTTAATACGAGCGATCGCTGTTCTTGTTTACATGAGATGCAAATTATTTGAAGACATATGCAAATTACCGGCAAATCAACCAACTGTCACCCTTTTTTTTTGCCTACCAATCGCTTGCCGTAACGTCATGGTGATCGCTCGTGTATGTCCACATGACGAAGACCAGAAAACTGGCCGAAAAATTTGGTTAGTCCTCTTTTTCTCAATCCCCCTCTACATAATAATGTCGACAGTAATGTGATAAAATCAGTTCACAGGGTTGATATCTTGTCTGAGAACAGACATGACAATGTAGATGCATACACACCTGTAGAATGGTAGTCAGGGACACTGCGGCCGTCCTCTCTGGCTTTCTCCAAGATGGCGTCAGTGTTTTCGTTCCCGTCATCCCTCTCGTGCACGCTGTAGTAAAACTTTGTCTTCAGTCTTTCCGGCTCTCCATTCAAGACGGTGGGGTCAGACTTAGACAGATAAGGAGCGAGGGCCGCTTTCTTGTACCAGGCAGACTTGTCCAGCTTTTCAGGAGTGACAGGTCGAATACCGCTGTCAAACTGGGCCACACCATTGTCACAGATCTATAGAAATGCAGTGACAGGAAAAGACAAAATACATTGACAATGCTTTATTTGCGTTATAATTAGCCATTTTACAATTACTATTTCATTTAAACTACCCAGAAAGAGTTATGACGATACAAACGAATTGATGCATGTACAACGATTATACAATGTTCTCTCCTATTTTCAATGACAAGAAAGAAATTGCAGCCTGCACATGTCTGTGAAATTATTTTTGGGGACAAATGCCGTTATGCCTCTCACTCAGCGATATTCATTCACACAACGTAGCAAGACTCAAAAGTTATATGATTATACTTTTGTGTCCGCTGTTTTCAGGAGTTTTGAGTTGACTAGCGACACGTGTTGCCTAGATGTTTTGACAATTCTCGCGCATGACAATGGACCAATGAGCTTCCGCGAATTGCTCGATCACGTGGGCAGGGCTATGCGTTCACGTGAACAATTCGTGCTGGTGATTGTGCAACGACGTGATGAAGTCACCATATGCATTGTGAAACATATAAGAAAACATATCCCTGTTTTCCGGGCATAACGACTACTTGTAATCCCCTTATGATAATGAACAAACTTGATGAATAAATAGCTTGAGAAGCTGGTACAAATAAAAACCCTAAACGCACACAAATGATTCTTGGTCACAGTAGATATTTTCACATTTCTTACATAAATCTTATGGTGGCGCCTTGTGAAGAAGCGGAATCCCTCCAGGGGTAGCTCAACTTTCTTGCAGGATTTCAGGAAGTCCCACTCTTTTGCTTCTTCGTCAACTTCCTCTCCGTATGGATACATGACATCCTCTGTGATTTAGGAAACAACATACAAATTGTGAGAAAGACAAATGTCAGTATTCTCACTCTTTTTTTATCCCATCCCTTTTTGTTAATGGTCCTGTCACGCATAGCCAAATAAACCTAAACTCTGCTTGGAGAGAGTACTGTTCTCAATCAAACGTGTTTCTATGAATATGAAGCAAGTTTAAACTGTAATAATTATTGCCAACACAACAAATTGGTCTCCCCCAAATTTTCGACTGTGCAACTCCAGTCTTTATCAAGGAATGAGCAACCATCCTTCAAGAGAGTCAGGAGGCGCCACAGACTTTCTGCAACCTATGATCCACTGCTCACGGAGTCACGTGTGTTATCTGCGTGACGTCACGGAAGCGGTGGATTCCTTGACAAAGACTGGAGTCGTACAGTCGAAAATTTGGGTGAGTCCAATTTGTTGTTGCTTCATAATGATTTCTACCAACACAGATGAACTTTCAAGATAAGTGTTTCTATGAAGTTTACCTCTGCATTCTGTCTGTCCCACAAGGTGGTGTTGTGGACGACACGAGCACTCAAAGCCTCCAGGTGTGTTGTCACAGAAGTGGTCGCAGTCCCCTCTTCCTCTGTTAGGTAAGCACTCGTTGATGTCTGTCAACGCATCGCAACGCGGATGTGTTGATTACATAACGTATGAGTAAACAACCATTTCAATACCTCAAGTTACAGATATGATTAAATTAAAGCAAGCCGCATCATCTGGACCCCTATAACTTATCATGTACCGAAAATAAAAGAAATCCGTAAAACCCACTATGAGCTATTGCTACGAATACACCAACACGGCCGAAAAGAACACTTATATCCAGCAAACCCAACGCTTCTAGCTCTTTTCGACTGAGAATCTCTCCGTGGAAAATATATAGTAGGCGCTTATCTTTTTCTGATTAAAATGATAATCCCATAGGTGGGGCTGGGGACGTTGGCACACTTCTTGCACTTTTGTCTTACATGTTTGTATTTATTTATTTATACATATATATCTATTTTTAATTAGTGGCGCTGGCAAAATAAGTTGGTGAACTTGAGAGCAGCGCCACTTTGTCTTGGAAATAAAACATAAATAAGATGTTTATGAATGAAAAAAAAAGAAAACAACACCTTCCCGCGGAAGGAAATCTTTCCTCCGTCCATAAAGTTACATAGCAGGTCATGCTGATATAAAGGGTAAACAACGTGTATCTTGCAAATTAGGCAAACTCGTGTACCCCCTCCTGCCTGAAACCTGCACTAGTGGTGATCTGGAAGTCTCGACCCCAGCGGAAATGCATGTGCAGAGCACTGGAGTGGGAGAGTTTAGCAGTACAACTGCAGTTATTGACTCGAAAATAAAGCAAACTTGCTTATTCAAGGCAGGTAGAATCCTTACCGTTACAAGATCGTCCATCAGCACCTAGGGTGCAGCCTGGGTCACAGGTGCAGTGGTGTGACAGGTACGTGTTGACACAGTTCTGCTCACAACCTCCGTTATCGGTTGAGCATTCATCCACGTCAGCTTCCTCTGCATCGATGGAGATAGGAGTTAAAACATATATTTCGTTGAGCCAAGGACACTATACGCCAAATAACAGTTACTCAAGCAAACCTGCATTTCTCCTCTGGTCTGTCAGTCACTGACGAAACGTAATGGAGGCTACCTGAAAAGTCTGACCGTTTCCAAAACCATATCCAGTTGCTTCAATAACATGCTTTTTGGCGTATCTTACTACCTGGATGTCTAACCCTCATCGACGTGTCAAGGACACCATATTTTATCCTTGGGTGAACCATGTAGTTTTACCAATTTTTTCAGTCAATGTGCTTGTCATTTATCTACATATGAAACAACACTATCCGAAATATGTATGTCGACATTCGAGGAGCAAACATGCGATGCTGCCTAGAGGAGAGAACTTATTTTTTTGGTATTAAAAATCTGCGCGACTGCATATATGCGGCGCGCGCGAGCGTGATAGTGATGTGACAGATACTTTACAGGCCTTTACGTTTGCCTGGTGATGTTGGCTGTCAGACGAAAACGCCAGAACAAAAGTCAAAACAAACATTTGCCTATACCTGCACAGCTAGTCTCGTTAATGAGATGGAATCCCGGATCGCAGGAGCAGTTGAAGGATCCGTCCGTGTTGGTGCAAATGTGTTCACACTCCGCAATCCCGTACCAGCATTCGTCGACATCTGGCAACAAACAACAGTCGTAACTAGAAATGTAACATTTACAAAGAAAATGCATAATGAATAGCAAAGTTCTTTGGTCACAACCATTTATTTTTCATGAGCCGACGTTTCGATGACCTTCTGTCATCTTCATCAGGGCAATTCTGACGTTAGATGTGACATCTAGCGTCAGTGCACAGTACACCAGTCAGAATTGCTCTGATGAAGATGACAGACGGTCATCGAAACGTCGGCTCGTGAAAAATAAATGGCTGTGACCAAATGAATTTTCTATTCATTCGTTTACCAACCTGATGAACTTATTTACGGAAAATGCATAATGTTTACATTCACATGGGCTAGCCCAAGAAACTACTGCTCTACTTACATAAATTTTACGAGTCAAGTACATTGGTACAAATATATGGTACAAAATGTAACCCAACACCATATGGTAACTACTGCACCAGTTACCATGGTGACAGACGTCTGGTCAAGGTCATTGACTTGTTTGGAGAAGAAGAGGAAGAGACTGACCAAAACAATATATTTTCCTTCTGTGAAGGTAAACATAAAAATTGAAAATACATGACTGTTATTGATACTTAGTAGTATTTGAAATAGAGTACAAAATAAATACTAGTAAACTATAGCTCTACGAGTTAAAACCATCGCTAAACTATCTTCACCTTTACAAGTAACGAATTGTAAATTTGCTCATAGGTTATACAAATAAGAGTCTCTTCTACATGCATGAAATATATCAGTTGATCATTTTCTCCACCAAATGTTATTTTTATCATGACAAGCAGTACTATTATAGCATTTCCTTATGGATTAACTCCCCTCGGGCTACAACTCACCCGTAGCGCTAATTTAGATAAGCGGGCGTACTACTTTGTGCCACCGAAGGGAATTGACTGACTACCCCCTCCCGCCTGGCTACCAGGTTAGTACATACCGTTATCGCACTGTGGTCCTTCCCATCCTTCGTCACATTCACAACTGTTTGTGTCCACACAAAGACCGTTTACACACGGGATGTAGCAGTCAGCTGTAAAGTAGAGAAACATCAGTTTTATTTTTGTTTGAACACATTTTGTACTGATAATTTAATTTCTAGTTTGATAAAACCATAGGCGCACAAACAAACGTTTTTTTTTCACGTTTTTAACGCACGTATAGAATTCTTACACGTACAAGAAATGACAGACTGAGAAAAGACTGGAGCCAGTTAAGGGAGGGGTTTCTCCGCATGCAGGAGAGAAAATGTCCTGGATGAAAGAAAGAATTCGGCATTGTATTGACAAAGAGATTGTAGAACTGCGTAGGTAAAGTTAATGATAGCTCAGTGGGGTCGTGTGGCGTAGCGGCAGAGTGCTCGACTCGGAACCAAGAGGTCCCGGGTTCGAGTCCTGACATGCCACCAATCTTGTGCCCTTGGGAAAGGCACTTTACACGACTTTCCTCACTTCCCTCATGTGAAAATGAGTATTGTCCTGTCATGTATTTGTCCCGTGTTGGTGGCGGCATTGATATAAGTTGAAAAAACTTGAGTGTGCCGTCACGACGTCTGGTGATTACATGTTGGAATAAGAAAAATGATAGTCACCTTGGCAGGTATCGTCGATATGGTTCCAGCCCACACAACACTCGTAATCAGTGAAGTACTCTCTCTGGTACCGGGTTACCAGCGATCTAGGGACCCTGTCAAGATGTCAACATAGTGTAAATAAGTCAAAACTAATGTAGGTAAGACCATATCGAATACAAGGTTGAGAAGTAAAGATTTAAAACGGACCACCCTAGTGGTCACAAAATTGATCATTCTTATTACCTCGGTGAAACATGGAGGTTGCATTTTGGACAGTGTCTGTATTATTAAAAAGACAACTCAAGAACAGCTAAATGGTTTTGGTTTTATATTTGGTGTGTTGGTAGAGTATGACAAAAACTTAAAATGATTAGAATTTTGGATTTGTCAGGTTTCTTTGGATACAAAAAGTGTAGTGTCAACCCCTGCATTTTAAACAGCTACATAATGTTAAAAAGACACCAGGATTGATGTCTTTCTATCAACCCTACCTGTTCTCGTGTTGAAAGCCCAGGTAGGAGGCGATGTAGTCTACGAAAGCAGTGGTCCGTTTCCGCCTGAGTTCCACCTGGTAACTCACCTGGCGAGTGTTGACAAAAGTGCAGACACTTCCTTCAGGCCTGAAAAAAGGCAAAATATGCGGTGTTGATGAGGATACGCCACACCAAAACCAGGGTTAAGCCCTCCAGAAAGTGAATTAAAGCCAAGCTGGGATAGCGTTTCTACGTTAGTGTTTATAAGCTGTGGTACACATGTTAAAACATAAGAAAAAAAAAACTGTAACTCCAGCAAATGTATAGTTTTAAAAACTGTCGAACGTTTCAAGTAGCATCCACTATTTTGACTAATGGGATATGTGGTTTGTTTGGTATCTTTTTTCTTGTGTATCTCATTACATGTGTGTGTGTGTGTGTGTGTGTGTGTGTGTGCGTGTGTGCTAGCCTTTATGGCAATTACCGAATATTATAGCACTAATGTGGCTAAAGCTTACACAAGTAAAACTGAACACATGAAAATATATTTTGTACAATAAGATAAAGTATACGTCATACTATCATGGTACCTGTCCTGAGATATGTGGATTCTTCCAACTTAAAAGCAATCAAGCACAACACGCGGAAATATCCTTGCATCATAAAAGCATTGCGCTTGAGCAAAACACAGGCGAGGCCCGTCTTTCACCGACCAATCAATGGTCCGACATGGTCTCTTGACATCAATACAACTGACATGTAATGCGACAATAGCAAGGTCATGTGGTGACCCCTGGTTTTATTCAAAACCATAGCGAGTAACCGATACCCCATCAATCAATCACAGAAGCACTAAATCACAACAGCGTACAAAGACGCCCCCATCGCCCAACAGTACCTTACCAAGACCTGACATTGAAAACGTAAAGTTACGTACGTTACAGTAAATTGTTAACAGTTAGATATTCAGCCCATTGGCATCGACGTAAAGCCCCGTCACACATACCCGAACACTACCAAACCTCCGGCCATGGTTGAGAATAGGTCGGATGCAAGGTTGGCTGTGGTTTGATAGTGTTCTGCGAGGTCGGCTACCGTTCGGCTGCGACATTCGGGTGTGGACGGAAGGTTTTGTCATGGTTGCGTGGTGTGTTCGGAGGTAGGTCAGCAGTGTTCAGGGGTGAAATTTGACTTGAATTTAACTCAAATTCGATTTGTATACAAATGTAGGTGTTGTGCTGTCGTCGTTACCTAAATCTGATTAGACTGCTCTGGAACTTCAGCCAATCTTGGTTGTTTGGTGGTTGGGGGTATGTTTTGAATGTGTGACAGGGGCTTATTTATGGTAAGTAGGTATGTGTCGATTCAGCTGCCTAAACTTTGCACCACCCTGCTACTCTATAGCAACTACATACTCGTTCATTAAGCTGTTAGTTCTTAAAAGTAGCATTTGTCTCAATTCAACCAAAGCTGGCAAGTTTTAGGGAAAAAGACATCCATCGCCAAAGGGGGGCACCTCTAGATCTTTTCTGCGAAAAATGGTTGTGTTTGTACCAACGGTGGGCACCTCTTTTCTGGGAAAAAAAAGGATTGTCTTTGTACCTGAAACAAGCACCTTCTTTTCAGCGAAAAACGGTTGCGTTGGTACAACACGTACAGGTGAAACGGAATACCAGTTAACATGGCGCCGGTCAATAGCGATCCGCACTGTTTTGTTTATTCAATGAAAGGCAGCCAGGGCGAGGTGACAACAGATATGTTTACGTCAACAGAATAAAAGAGATGCGTGAGTCAACCTTCTACGAAAATCAACAGTTCCATGAGATCTACGCTTATGTCTTACACCATCTCCTAAAACGATTAGTCTAGACATGTGGGCTTTTTCGACAAGTCTCTTTGCGGTCACAACGGCACGTAAATATTAATAAAAAAAGTAAAATATAATACATGTCAAGCAAAAAACTGAAATGTCTAATTTCCAGATTTCCTACGTCTTGCATGCGTGCTCAAAAAAGCTGTTATGACATCAAGTTAGTCCAGATCCAAGCCTACACAGACAATCAGCACTATTGACACACACCAGGGGCTTTCACATATTAACAAATCTGTCACACGTTTGAACACAAGTCACTGGGCTCATCGGGTTCAGAGTCATCAACAACAGGTGACGCTCAAGGAAGTAACTGTCAATCAAAACGCCGGGGAGGTCTTTTTTGTACCGCGCTGTTAGGTCTTCGAACACCAGAATTTTGCGACTATCTACGAACGAGACCAATGGCTAAACCCTCCCAAAATGGGTTCGAAACACGATTGCATAAGTGGGATTAAGTCCCCGATCTTTTCTTCAACCGAGACTGACAAGTACCAGAACGCTACACGCTATTTAACGATTAATTTTAAGAAGATAGGTTTGTACGTAATTGACAATATGACTATTTTTTCACACTAGATAAAAAGTGTTATTGAGAAATGAAGATTTTAAAGGCATACAGTGACATTTCAGGGCAGCAAAACAAAACAAAACAAAACAAAAAGTTATTCTGGATAAGGAAATCTGTTATATCACAATTCGTCATCATTTCATACATGTACTTGAAGCGTTAAAATAGCCCCCAAACAGAGTGAGGGGTCCCTTTACAATGTAGTTTTGACACACCCAAACTAGAACTACCTTACGATACAAAACGAGCAAGAGTTTTCTGTCAGCGACATCACATATTTCCCTCATGCTCACATATATCAGTATGCTATGGGATTAGGTTGATTCATCTTACTACATGAACAAAATGACCAGAAAACTAGTTTTACTGCCCTTAAATCCGAATGCATTCAACAGAGAACGGCAGTTACGTATCGTCATATTTCTTCACCCCTCAGACGGTAAAGACATATGTTGAAAAGATGCTTCAAAGTATGACAACAGTACGCACTAACATACACACCAATGACTCGTGCTATAAAATTATCTCCGCCTTTGGAATGTTGCTCACTTCAAGGTCACATTTGTTTACACACAAAAGTATAATTCATGAACATATAATCTTCTGTTCATTTTCTGTTCACGTTTATCTTCTATGAAAAGCTTGCTCTCGTTCTTTCGAAGTGGCCGGAGATATAGCCAGCTTAGTAACGTTCTCACTTACCCTCTCAATGTAGTCTGTGACTGAACCACCGAACAACACCATAGGAAGAGCCCCAGTGAAGTCCAGTAGGTTACTCCCGCCATTTGGCGCGTTTTTAGCGCGTAACTCTCCTCCAGCTTATGGAATACCTTCGCACAACGTCCGAACTGTACAAAATCCTGGCTTGACTGACTTGTTCACCTTCTTTTCCTCTAGTTTTTCGCGGAAGGGATTGTAATATTTGTATTGGCAAGTACACCAGGGAAATTCCAGGTAATTTCCGCACGTCACACAATTGCGTCACTGCGAGAAACAATAGACGGTGTACATGTAACTGTGTCTGTTCGACTTTCTTCTACGCGTTACACATATCGCCAGTTTAGGGTGTCACGTCATTTCACTGACACAGCATGCCATTGAAATTTGTTTTGCAAATTCATACCCGAAACCAAATTGCATTGTGTACATTTGTGTACAACATACATAGCATATACTTTTAATGTTGTTGCTTTTTCTGACACAAAATTCACGAGGAAGTAACAGTCAATCAGACCCTTTTGTCGGCCGAAGTTCGGGAGTGTTGGTTGCGTCGGTACAACACGTACAGGTGAAACGGAATACCAATTAACATGGCGTTGGTCAATAGCGATCCGTACTGTTTTGTTTATTCAATGAAATGCACCCAGGGTAGCCTCCTTCGCAGTCTTGCTGGGCGTCGGCGTTATTTTTTCTCTGAGCGACGCCAGTAATATGCCGCCGCGAGGGACGATTTGCTGCCGAGGGAGTTTTTGCCACGGAGAGAAGGTTTCGCGCTCCAAAAGATCTACAATTTTTAGCTTTGTCTTGTTGGAGTAAGTGAGCATAAGTACGTAAAACAGGGCGACTTTCTTATACCAGTTGAAGTGATATTGAAAGTAACAAACAACTGTTACGGAGCTTGCAGTCATTACCGTAAAACATTTTGTTCAGCAAGGGTGGCCGCAAATGTCAGCGAACACTACTTTCTTTCCTTAGAACCTAGAAAACTTGCAAAATGCCATCAAAACAGCAATTTCATGTCTTATATGCGACTATATCTAAACTTCACAACCGTCTTACTTAAGCCGTAACGGAGGTTACAGAAATTCTGCGGAAACAGAGGTTACAGATCTCACCAAACACGAGGCCACAATTTCTTCCAAGTCATCAACCAAACCTAGCTGTAGTGATAGGTGACATCGACAGTTGTAATTTGCCGCCCTTTGCAAAATAAAAGGGGTAAACCGTTCAAAACACATCCAAACCAGTTCCACGACCTCATACCTTCGCCAAATGATGTTACCCTTATGCCTTGAAGAATGTTGACGAATTTTAAATGATTTTCATTATAAGACAAGACATTAATCATGAACACAAGATCTTGCATGAATTATATCAGTTGATCATGTTATTCACCAAATGACTGTCTTGTCTTATGAAAAATGGCTAATGTAGCGATTTCTTCATAAATTATGCAAATCATGTCCTGATTTGAATATGTTATTTTTAGTGATGTCCGCCTTCACAGCTTAAAAATGCCACAAGTATGAGATTCCCTGCAGTTACTATGGGGAATTAGAGCTTTTTTGCATTAATTTTGCAAATTAGGCCTTCATTTGGATAACCGCTATCTGCCAATTTTCTTCTTTACAATTACACATGCCACGTGTTTGAATAATCATATCATGGAAAGTAGCAGATTTATAGCATTTCCTCATTAAGTATGCTCATTAGCTGATGATTTGCATAACAATCATTTTAATATGTCAAGCTACCCACATACCAAAAATCATAATGATCCGTCAATCGGTTCTTGAGTTATCCTCCGGAGCAGTTCGGTTTCAAGGTGCAAGGTTTCACAGGCGTCCGACTTACTATTAGGCCGTTTCTATACGGAATCACTCAAACCGCGATTCGGGTAACTCACATTCCTCACATCTGGTCCACGTGCCACACACACCTGTGAAACCGAGTCCGAACATAATGCGCTTGAGCTACATTTATTGCTGTTTGATGATAACACGCAAGGCGGCGTGTTATTAATGTCAGAGGTCAACGACCTGCTTGCTGATGCCCCCCTCCCAGCGTATCTCGGCCGAATGCTGACGTGGTCCCGCCAGAGGCGGTGAAGCTCGCCCTAGAACGGGCACATTATTTGACCATTACTGCTCTTTAAGTTGTTGCCACGTAAAAGTTGGTATTGCATATAAAAAAAGAAATATCACCCCGTAATCCATGACCAGGCGAAGTCACTTTGAAATCACATTGCGTTCAGACGCAAATCGCGATGCGGGGAAACCGATTCGAAACCACCTCTAGAAGTGGCTTGGGATCGAGGCGCTTTCAATGTGATTTCGGAGCGTTCAGATGGAACCACTTGAAATCGGCTTCGGGGTAAACCACATGTAAACCGCCTTGGGTGATTCCGTTTAGACACGGCCCTAGTACGTGTACGTGGCGTGGTGGCAGACGTGACAGCTGTCCGATTACATACAGCTGTCCTGTTTAGTCTCTAAACTAATACTAGCACCAAATCTGAGACCTTCTAAACAAATCAGCCTACAAGTACTGGGTGAGGAGGTAAGTTAAAACGTCAGTGTCTTGAAGTCCAAGTTTATGGGAATAAGAAGACAAGATGGCGACCGTGTTCTACCAGGTGCCTCTCACGTCACCTGTTTTGGATTTTGTCATTTGTTGCTTCCTGTTTTTTTCGTGCTTGTATCCAGCCTCCTGGGTAGGCGGTCTTTCTTACTTACCAATGAGCACAGTGATTTCTTTCTGCTGAGATAGCTGTAACGGGAGAATGCCTTTGTCGGCCGTTTGGAACGTCTGCACTGAATAAAAGATTTCTCAAGCGGCCGATAGAGCTATCGTAGCTCTCCAAGCAAAATGAAAACGCCGCGCTCATACGTAGAATCTAATGAATAGGACGCTAGGGAAGTGTGCACAGGAAGCATATGGCAGTATATACAAACCATTCACAAACTAGAAAGGCCAATATTTGCTTTGGAGCAAATACAGCGATGGGTTCACCACATTTTACGACGTCATGGCAGGGAAAGAATGAGAAACACAAGGGAAAACAATGATTTACATTGATATAACTATAATATGAAGTAACATACAACTAAAACAACAGTTGGATAGCTATTCCCTACTTTATTGGTTGGGATTTTTAATTGCATAATGCAAACTGTTGATTTTCAAAATAAATAAAAAAACGTTCATGCCCCGCATTCCAATGCTGGAGCAGAAAAGCTTGAAATACCTACCAAAACACTTGAATAAAGACATACTGTCAGTATGGAAATCTCTGTGCAGGTGTTAATCAAGTTAAATCCCAACAGCCAATCAGCAAGAAATGCTCTGTGCAGGTGGAAATGCTCTGTGCTTGTGTTAATCAAGTTAAATCCCAACAGCCAATCAGCAAGAAGTATAGAGGAAAGCTGCATGCCTATTGGTTGATGCCCTGCATTCCATTGTGATGACTCATGCCCAGACGTGGTAAACACGGCACACTAACACAGTAATACATTTGCTATAATACAGACCAAAAAACTCAAATAA